AGACTCAGAAAAAGTGTTTCGGTGTAGACAGGGGATGCTGAAGAGCAGCGGGTCGAAGCATCCACTCTTGCACTGCATGCCCCAGCAGGTGGTGCGCCATGCATATGCTGTGATTTATACATGAATCAATACATACGTATGCACGGATACATACACTGCAGAGCATCTGCTGTGTATTTGTCCATGTATAGTCAGTAGAGGGGATGTGAACTGCTCCTCTCACCCCTTCAAACTGCAAGCGGAGCCAACTTTTCTTTGTTTTCCGCCCCAGACAAAAAAGTGTTTCTTTCTGTACACTATACGCGTAACATGTTTCTAATAAAAAAGTCAAGTACCACGGAAAGATGGCGCTCTCTTCCTCGTTAGCTGCCTCACCACGAGATAATCCTAGGGAAACCACGGATACCCCCGCAGCGGCACAACCCCGATACAACCCCCCGCCGACGGTGTTGAGGTTTATTTTTCAAGTAGTAAGGAGACAGTGCACCTGCCCCTGCTCCAAAGGGAAACTGTATCCTCTACAAGAAGAAGAGTGCATGCGGTATACCAAGGAAACTGGGGAGCGAAGAGGCTCCTGTTCAGTGCTGAGGAGCTGCGCGGACCCCTGCGTGGCGCTGCAGCAACCCCATCGTGTTCCTGCAGCTCTCCAGCACTGAATAGGAGCCTCTTCGCATGCAACTGCTCTTCGGAGCAAGGGCAGGTGCACTTTTTCTTAAACTGCTGTTCTACGGGAGTTGATCCAGGTAACGCTTGAAAAAAAAAGCGGAGACAATTGAAGGAAGATATCGCAGATAAATTAAAAAGGAAAACAGAAAAGGAGCTAGCACCGAGCCAGCCACCCGATGGGCACTCAATGCACAGTATCGAGCTCGCTCATGGAACAGCCTCAAACTTTCTTTGCAACAAACAAACACGCCACAGTGCTCCACCTGCAGGAGCAGAAGTATCCGGTATGTGCACCGCTAGGCTGCCTGGCGGGGAGTAAAGAAGAGAATATATATGCTATCTACATGGCGGGCACTTCACTGTTCTTACTGACCATCAACCCCTGACGCAGCAGAGGAAGATTCTTG